GAGTGTTAATCCAAAGTCATTGTCCTATTTAGTTGGGCATTTATTCCATAAATAGCTACTTAGGGCCTCCTGAGTAGTAAACACTACTTAAAAACTAAAAATGCAAACATTTGCTCAAAGTTTCATGCAACAGTTTACGGAGCCCTTATAGACTGAGAGTGGGCAGGCGCAGTCTTGACCCTCAGGGAAGTCACATTCTCATGATGGAGACAAAAAAAAAAGATAAATTCAACCCTGGAGCAGAAAAAGGATATCAGGGCAAAACCGAAGAACTCAAAATAAAGTATGAACTTCAGTTAATAGTAAGGTATCAACATTAGCTCATTATTTGTGACAAATGTACACTCATGTTAATAGAAAAAATTGGGGTGGGGTATATGAGAACACTCTGTTACATCTTTGTAACTTTTCTGTAAGTCTAAAATATTCTAAAATAAACAGTTTTTAAAAAAATACCTGGGCCATGTGGTGTGTACATGTAGTTCTAGAATAGTAGTCAGCATGGATCAGACCATGCTGTCCTGTCAATCATGGGCTAAGGACCACTTCCCCCCAAATCAGTAAGGGTTCTAGTCCTGCCTATGGTCCTGCCTCTCTAACTCCCAAGCAGTAGCCAAAGTTCATTCTTGGGGAAATCCTCAACTCAGGCATAGGTGCAGAAACACCCCGAGGATCTGAAAATAACCTTTGGATAGACAAACTCATTGTCTACTCATCCATATGGGTTGCCTCTCATGGATAAATTATAACAGTGAATTATGGGTAAGGGTATGTACAGTTAACACAGGAGAATGACTCAGCATGAGCTGTCAAACATCTCAGTACGCTCTCTGGGAGCTACTCGGAAAGCTGAAGTGGGAGGGTTGCTTGAGACTAGGAGTTAGAGACCAGCCTGGCAACATTAGCAAGACCCTCTCTAAAAAAAAATAAATAGACTAAACAAATAAACAAATGATAAATTAGTAGTTAACTAACTGATCAATTATAGGTTTTGTTTATGGCTATGCAGAAATAGATAGGGATCTCTGGTAGATAACAGGGGAAACATCTGACATTAGCAGAACTCTGACCATTCCTGCATCATGCACCTGACAGGTATCCATGGAGTACCTGCTTTGCATCAGGCACTGTGTCAGGCTGGGAATAGGGATGCACATGAGACCTTGAGAAGCTGTCCTCTAATACACCACATGCATACCAAAAGAACCAATCACACACACACACACACACACACACACACACACATGCACACACCAGATTTAATTTTGGAACACACAGTCAAACTATTTGACTGAATCATCTAGTTACCTCTTAGTCGTAGCTGCAAGCCTGTGTAGATCTGCAGATATGAGTTGAAAGGCATCTTTCACACAGAAAGCTACCTGGGATTACTTGAAACACACTGGAGCTCTAACCTTCTCCGGCCCTGCTCCTTCCTTCACAGGGTGCCACCTGTCACTCTGCAAAGCCTGGGGATCCATGATCCCACTTTCAGACCGTGGCACCTCATGGTTGATTCCATCAGCTCTCCAAGGTCATCAGTTTGGAACTGCAGAGACCCCTTGACTGAGAATGGTAGCATCTAATGATATTTTCATGTGTGTAGAAGAAGGAAATGTTATGTAAAGATGAGCACAAGCCAGGTAACCAAAAACATGAGCTCTGGCCAGGCACTACCTATGACTTGTGGGGCAAGTTCCTTGACCATTCTGGATCTTGGGCTCCCTTGGATAGCATCGAATATGACCTGCTCTACCTTTTCTGTGGGTTACTGACAAAATCAAATGAGATCGTGATAAGAGTTTTGAAAAACAAAAAGCATTATTCAAACCCAAAGTGCTAGAATGACCTTTTTAGAAAATTGTAAAGATCAGGATTCAAGCAAAAAGGATTTTTAAGTTTTACTATTTAATAATAAAGTCAAGTCTATCAGAAGTGTGACAGCACATCATAGCTGAGTACAGTGAACACTACTTGTTTTATACTTAAGAGCCACTTCTCTCCTCCCAAGCCCATGGAACCCCTCTCCACTGTCACTGGTTCAGAATTGCATCATGCATTTGGAGGGTGTTTATGGAGCACCAGCTACGTACCAGGGACCATAAGACAGCCCTCTCTTCATCTGCCTGGATCTACTCTACCCAGGGGAAGAATTCTGATTGATCTCAATTGGCCATGGCAATCTTGTTCCATTTTGCCAGGGACTTGCCAGGGATGGGCATATGTCCCATCTGGCCTGCCTCTGCCCTGCCTTTCCTACTGGTGTGAGGATATGATGCACCACCAAGGGGTAGCATTCCTCCTGCAACTGCAAGACTGAGCACAAGGACACAAGAGAATACAGAAATTCAGAAAGAAAAGGATTCTTGAAGATGCCACTGCACTCCCACACTCGCCCCCCCCCGCTCCGGGCTCCTGTGTAGAAGAGATAACTAAATATTGCTAATGCTTAAACCGCTGTTACTTACAGTCAATCACGTATGCAAATTGGCACGACCTCTAAGGAATAGAACTTGGCAATATATTTCTATTTTGAATGTGTATAACCTTTGACTCAGTAATTCTACTTATCAGAATTTCTCTCACAGATATACTCTCACAGTGTTCAAATTGGTATATTTAAATATAATAATTACAATATTATGTATGTAACAATATGGTTAGATAGATTATGGTGCATCCATAAAATGGAATACACATTGCTTTAAAAGGACAGGCACAGGCCCGTGTATACTAGCAATTTATGTTCTAGGTATATTAAGGGAAAGAAAGAAGATTAATAATGGTTGAAGCTGGAAGACAGGCACATAGAGATTTGTCAGGTCATTTTTTCTTAGAAATGTATTGTGGAGATTTCAAATTTTCCAAAATGAAAAAATTTAAAGACAAGGGGCAGGAACTGTAACATGATTAGTATGACATCATTTGTAAATGGGTGGATTTTTAAAGTAAATACATGTATGGAGGATAGAAAAAAATCAAGATATGTGTACGTACCAACACTCCATGATGAATATATTCATTATGTATTTCAAACAAATGCTAATAAAAAATTTTTAAAGAATGAAAGGAAATTGGTTATAACCAGCAAGGTCAAAACAACCCGGTTCAAACAGAGCAACTAATAAGACATTTCTGAGACATTTAAGGAAATCAGATGAAGCCTAGCTCTTTTGTGACATTAAGGAATTGTTATTGTGTGATAATGGTCTGGTGGCTATATAAAAATTCTTTAGGAAGTACTAAAGTATTTAGGGGTGGAATTCATGTTTGCATTTTGTTTTGAAATGTTTTTGCCAAACATTAAATAAATAAATCAACAGATGCAGAAAAGAGGTGTTATGCGTAAGTGCGAGGTATACTCATTATACTGTTACTTTTCTGTATGTTTGACATTTTCATTTAAAATCTTTTACATGGGCTATGAACTTGGGGTGTTGCCATGAATAAAACAGATCCCATGTGGTCTTTGGGGAGCAGGTCTCCATTAGGAAGTCTTAAATGTGATGACGGCTGCCTCCAGGACCGGTGTGAGTCTGCTTTTCTGTGTTCCTTTCACATCATCATCACTGCACATGTATTTTCCCAAGTTGTACAGATCTGTGATCACTGTAGCCTGGTGCTTTGTGGTGTGCGATACCCCTGGCATCCCGTTCAGCAAACTATTCCTGGGTGCATCCACACGTGTTTAGCAGAGTGAAGGTAAGAAGACATCAAAAGTGATGCCCTGACTCCTGTTTCCCAATTACAACCTAGGGGAGGAGACTGAACAGGCCCCAGACGGAGCCAGGGTGGGGGAATCAGCAGGAAGAGCAACCAGACCAGGACCCCTCAATGATGGAGAGCGAGATGGTGAGGGATGGGGAGATCGTCCTGAGAAAGGAATGGAGGAGCCACCAGGCAAAGGAGGCGCCTCCACACAGTGGATGTGCATGCCCTAGATCAGGGAGTGGCAAACTTTATCTGTAAAGGGCCAGATGGCAACTATTTTTGGTTTTGCAGGCCAAAAGGCACACTCAGGATATTTTGTAGGTACTTACGTACAAGAAAGAAACATTTCTCAAAATTTTAGACAAAATTCAAAGCTTTATTTGTAGACACTGACATGTAAATTTCCTATAATTTTCACATATCAGAACTGGTATTCTCCCTTTGGTCCCTGTCTCCTGCCAAATCACTTAAGTGTGTAAAATCCACTTCTAGCTCATGGGTTGAACTTGGTGGAGTTTGCATCCTCCTACCTAACACCATCTCGGGTTTGTTTTTAGAACTGCTCTCAGCTGTAGGGGCCGGAATGGGACTAATTTAGCTGTTGGTACTCGGGTCCCTGCCCATCTCTACCCCTACCGGCTGGGAGTTGTAAGGGACATCATTTAACCTCCCTGGCCCTGTCTCCTCACCGTGGAAGCCCGAGAATAAAGCCACCTTATTCACAGACTAAGGTGAGGAAAACATCACCTTTTTACCACGGAAATGCCAGGTTCCCTGAGCCTCGGGAGCACGTGCGCTGCTCCTCTTGGAGGCAGACTCCTCACACCTAGGGGACGCGCGTCTCCGGAGAGCCAAACAAAGACCTCCCGCCCTGAACCTGTTTCTAGTGCTCCAGAGCAGAGGTGGGGTGAGATCAGCACCCTCTCTGCTGATTCCAGGTAAGGGCACTGGGTCCGCAGCGGCCGCTCCCTCAAATCCAGGGGTCGCTGGCGCAGGGCCGTCGGGGGTTTAGCGACTTGGAAGCCGCAGCCCGCAGTCCCCGCTCACCCCGCCGCCCCGCAGCGCCGGCCGCGAGCTGCTCCTCGGTGGGGACCATCGGGGAGGCCGCCCTGGCCCCCAGCCAGCTCTCAGAGCCACCCTGCCCGGAAGCACGGTCCCCAGACACCGATCCTCGCGTCCGAGTCTCTGGCGGAACCTCGAGGATTTCTCGTTCTTGCCAAAGGCCCCCAAACTTTTGGGGAGAAACCGAGAGTGCACGAGGCACCGGGTCCCTCACCCGCAGCGGTAGCCTGCCCAGTTTCTGCCCCGCGGGCCGGGCCGGAGCTGACACTCAGGGTGCGCCGGGACGTGCCTGGCAGTTGCGCAAGTTGTGCTGGGGAACTATGTAAGAGGGGCGGACAGCCATGGAGCTCCAGAGGGATTCCGGTACCAGCAGCTCCGAGGTAAGGCCGGGTGCACTCCTTTCTCCCTTGCTGGTCTTGACGGGCCACAGCATCCTACCCCCACTCTGTACCCCGGAGAAACTGAGGCAGGCGGGAGGCAGGGCGAATGGCTTGGTTCTGGACAATGCAGCTTTACACAGAGTTCTAGCCAAAGGGAAGGCAGCTGGGAGCTGTCTGGGAGCTAGGGAGTTCGATTTGGGGTGGGCTGTGTCTGATGCCCACAAGGCAGGAGTTCGTCCTTGCAAAACCAGCCAGGACCCCAGATTATCGCGTGGGCAGTACTGAGATGCTTTGGAAACTGCTGTGAGCAGATCTTCCAAAGTTCAGGGTGCCCTTCTGAGGACCAAAAAGGCTTGCTCTGCAGGTAAGGGATCCAGGCCTCATTTTCCAGCGAGGGTCCTGGCCTCCAAATGAGAGGGGCTGCAAGAGGTCCAGGCCTAGGACTGGGACTGTGGTGTGAGGGCAGGCAAGAAAACTGTCAGGAAGACCCCAAATCTCCCAGACAAACTGGGCCAGGTCTCATCACATCTGGCCTCAAAGCCATGCAAATCGCCTTCTTCACGGTGGACACAATTGGGTGTCTGGGGAATAGAACAGAAATCGTGGGAAAAGCCTACAACCTGCAAATTTCCACACTGCTGGCAGGTGGGCTCTCTGAGCGACCTCCCCGCCTTCCTCCTTTCTGGGCTTGGTTTAAACTTCATTGTAGACGTTGCCTTTACACTCCTGTCTCTGGCTTAAGAGATGGTGTCACTTTGGAAAACTGACTCCTTTAATACAGTGAGATCCAGTGAGACAAGTAGCCTGGTTGTCCTGTGTGAATAGCTGCTTTGGAGAGGATGAGACAATTACTGGACAGACGGTCTTCAGGGGAGGTGAGCAGAGGGCAGGACTTAGTACTGTCCCGGGAGCACAAGCTCTCGGAGTGCCCTTGGCAGGGTGAGACTTGCCCCTAGTAGCTCCAGCTGTGTTTGTTCTGCAGAGTTTTGAGCTGGGACTGGGGGAGTGTTCCCACTAGGATGGTCGGTGGAACCAAACTCCAAAGGAGAGCGGTTCCTAATAACTTAGTAGTTCCCATTTCATGCCCTTAAGAATAAAAAGGCCGTATTGATCGTTTTTCTCATTTAGGCAGGGAGTTAAAAGCCAAGAGGAAAAACAAAGGATGCTTTTTTGTTCTTTCCTTTCTCAACCAACTGAGGACATTGAGCTGAGGGGCACATTTCCATGTTGGCCAAAGGAGCATCTTTCTCATATTTTGTGTATCTTGTACTCAAAATAACCCTTCTTGGTATCTGGGGGAAACATATTCCTCCCTCTCTGTTCCAGGAAATTGCTCCAAGGGCCAAGGACAGAGCCAGGGAAGTTGCAATGAATTCCTGCCCGTGGGCCCCAGGCAGATGCCTCACATGTCTGAGTGGCCCATGCAGGGTGCTGAGGTGGCCACTTGGGAGAACTCTCCTAGAAGAGCTCTGGGCCTTGCTCCACCCCTGCCTAGATGCCCCTAGGGGAGCAGGGGAGCCTGGGAGAGAGAAGAGGCTCCAAGGCAATGGAGTCCTCCTGCCACATGCATCCCTGAGCAACATCTGTGGGATTGAAAGGCAAACTGAGCCAAATCATCTGGCATTCAGTCAATCAGTATAGCCCACTCTTACAAGGCAGGAGTGGGGGGAGATTCCAGCAGCCACAACTCCATTCTGGCTCACTGGCAAAGAGCCTTGACGTTCTTCTGTCTACACTGTTGCCTCTGAGAAACAGACAGGTTGTTTTCTGCTTTGAAATGGCACACCTGGTGCTTGGGCCTGCAGATGTCCTTGCTCACACAACAGATGTGCCTTGAGCCATGGCAAACTGCACGTCACCATAATTTCTGCTCACTTTGCTAACTGTCTGGAACTGAATTTGTAATCAATGTCAGTGCTTGCATTTTAGCTATGCTGCTGCTTTAGTCCCCACCTGCGTATACACTGTGCTGTGCTCTGGGCTCTGTTGGGGAAGGCTTGGAAAAGACAGGGAACAAAGCACAGGTCTCTGCAAGGACAGAGTCAGGAGGGCAGGGTCAGAAGCCCAGCTCGAGAATAGGTCCATGGCAGGGACACCTGGGGACAGCAATCCAGGTGGAGCAGAGCTCCAGAAGCTGAAAGGAGCTTGGGCCCACACAGATGCTGGGAGACATGTGGGTGGTGCAGAAAGCAGACCAAGGTGTCCAACAAATGGAGACCCTGAAGAGGTGTCTGTCTTCTTTAAGACAACTTCCTTGGAGTTTCTGCTGGGCAAAATTGAATTTAAGATTTGACTTTCAGATGGGAGCAGGCGAGGTGCTGTGGAGGTAGGTTACCTTGGTTAGCCAACAGAGGTCAGGGATAGGAAATGTTTCATCTACTCATTCAACAAATATTCAGCAAACACCTGCTCTGTCAGGTCCTTGGTAGATGCTGGAACAAGTGCAGGGTCACTAATTGATTAAGGCACCCTCTCCCTCTGAGTCTGGCCAGAGGTTCAGGTTCACCTCCTACAGCACTCTAGGGAATCACTAAAAATTGATCAGAGTTGACACAGGAGTTGAAACCTATTTGCTACCTCTGATAGGATCAGATCTCAGGGTAGTTCCTGATGAACAGGAATAATATAACCCCCACTTCCTCACTCTGGCTACCAGTTAAGTATGTTAACAAGATTTGTCAAATAGGGCTTTTGACTGCAAAGGAAAGTAAATCATTCCTGCTAAGTCAGTGACTGTCAAATTGTATATTGTGACTAACATTTGAAAAATGAACAGAAACTCTCAAGTGTATCACCGCTAGTAAGGGTGAATTTCAGTGAAAAATATTCAGAAAGATGTAAAGTTTTCTAGTGTATTAGTTTGTTTTCATTACTATGACAAAATATCTGAGGCTAAGTAACTTTATACAGAAAAGAGGTCTGTGCTTCTTTGGAGTCAACTTAATCTAAAGTCCTCCAGTTCCATCCGTGTGACTGAAAGTGATAGAATTCCATTCTTTTTATGGGTAAATAGCACTTCACTGTGTAGTGGTAGTCTGCAGAAAAACTAGCGAGGAAGATGGCCAGATATGAAAGACAGGAGTGGTATGAGGGAGATGCAGAATGGGGCTGCATTGGGGGGGCAGGCAAGTCCACCCCATCCTGGCCCGTCCATCCCCTGGCCTGCTCGGCACGGCCTCTCCTCTCCAGTCCCTGCTTCAGCAGTCCCTAGAGGATGGTAAAGAGACAGTGCTGCATCAACATTTCAGCAGTTCGTCTTTGGGCTCTTACTGCTCCTACATGTTCAAACCCCACTTTGGAAACTTTTGGAGAGAAAAGGCTTTGAAGCCCAGGCCAGCAGGTGACAGTAGCCTTTCTCCCTGCCCACAAGCTCCTCAGCCCCCTCCTCTACTCTGGTCTACACAGCTCCTGGGGCTCCACCCACAGCCCTTTCTCCTGAGTTCAGACTCCCGATACCAACTGCCCCCTGGACACACCCACCAAAAACCAGGAGACCAGAATGTCCCCAAGTCCCTCTTTCCCAAACCTCTCTGTGTCTCTCTCTCAGTGTCTATGTCTCCATTCTTCTGGTCAACCAGGTGGAAAACCTGTGGTCCTCAGTTCTGCAGATGGAAGCACCCCCCAACCCCCGCCTGGCTCTCACAGCTTCCCCATCCCAACCCGCTCCACCCCCTTATCCTTGTCACTCTCCAGACAGCTGGAAGCCACCATCTCCTAAACCCACCTGAGTTCTTTGGTCTCTGCTGGGGTTGCTCCTCTCTTCTACCTTCACAAACCCAAATCCTACATCCTCGGGTCCCTTATCAAATGCCATCTTCTCCATCTGATTCCTTCTAGACATAACGATGATGACAGCTAACATTATTGGAATAGAGGTGGCACTTAACATGCCAGGCTACGTGCCAGCCAGAGGTGGCACTTGATATGCACCACCTCAGTTCAGCCACAACAGCAACAGTGGGAATTATGATTCATACCATCTCCATTGTATAGCCAAGGAAACTGAGTCTCTGAGATACACAAACTTTGCCCAGGTCTTTTTCAGTCTGTGTTTGTAGTGCATAATGTTTACATACCTGTGTGGAGATGGTACATATATATATACATCGTAATTCCTTTTTTTGTCTCCTTTTCCTCCCTCCCCACTCCCTTCATCCCTTGATCCCCTTCCCATTTGAGAAAGATCTATCTCCCTACTTCCTATTATCTATCTTTTATTTTGCTTTTTATTTATAATTTAGATTTCTCATATAAGATAAATCATGTGATATTTAAGCTTGAGTGACTGATTTATTTCACTTATCATTATACTTTGCCTAAGTCTTGTACTCAAAATCAAACATAGTTCTACTGGACTCTAGAGTTCATAAATTGTAGCATAATGACTTCCTTTCCTAAATTACCCAAAGCATTTTATCTGTTTAAGTATTCTTCCTTGTGCTGAAATTAATTATGTAAATTCTTATGCCAGACGAGCACAGTTTTGTTCTTTAATATATGTAAGGAGTTGACAAAATTAGTGTAATACACTACCTAGGCTTCCTGGGGGAGCCTTCAGCCTGTGTTCCATCCCTCCCAACTCCAACTCCCTCCTTGCTTTCTGGAGGTCCATGATTTCACCTCTGTGCCTGGCCCACAATGCGCCCCCAATAGATGTTAGCTGCCAACCATCAAATGCATCTTGAGCAACTACAGTGTGTCAGGCACTATGTTCAGTGAAGTTGTATTTGCTGTCTTGAATTATCTCTCCTCTCCTTAGTTCCTGCACCTCCCAGCCACTCCCTCTCCCTTTCTCAGGTTATGGCCAGGCCCTACACAGGTACTGAGACTCAGGTGAACCTAGGAAGAATTGTCCATTCTCTTCTGCTGATGTCCATGTTAGGGTGCATTAGTCAGTCAGCATTAACTTTGATTGCATGCAGCTGAAAGCCAGAATAGTGGCTTAAACAAGGCAGACATTATATCTCTCACATACACAAAGCACAAAGCCAGAGCTAGGTTGTCCAAGGCAAGGATGGTCTCTCAGCTTCACAGAGGCCTCAGGCACTAAGGGTCCTGCAACATCCTGTCTGTCATTCATAAGGGAGACCTCTGTCCTGGAGATCAAGACAGTGTAGAATGCTGGCTAGTACCGCTGCATTTCAGGCACCAGAATGAAGGAAGGGATGGAAAAGCAAGAAGCAAAGACACACAGTGGGTTTCCAGAGCTGTCTGGTGTCACTTTGGCTTCTATTTAATTGCCCAGGATTTAGTTGCATAGCCTCACCTACTGGAAGAAGCTGGGGAGTGTAGGATTCGTTCTGCATAGTCACACACATTTGAGTTTCCACAAGAGGGTAAGAAGGAAAGACTAGAACTGGGGACCACCAGCAGCCTCCACTGCAAGGTTAACGTGTGTGTGTGCATGGGTGTGCATGCGTGTAATGCGCTGTGTGTCGGTACAGCAGGTTCTTGCCCTCACTTTGATCTCAGCCATTTCTCTCTTCAGCCCCCATGGGTGTCCCCTAAGTCTCGCCTCTCCTTTTAGCTGACTTACTCAGCAACCGCTTTTCAATTCCATACTTTCAAGGAGCCACAGTTTATTTTCAGCATCCACTGGAGCATACGATCAGTAGTAATAGAGGGGCTTGTAAGCCTGCTTTCCATTCAGGTATTAAGAGGGTGGTCATTATGTGAAAATGACTACAATTCAACCAGAGTCAATCTGCCAATAAACTTTCTCAGGAAGGAGAGTGTATTCAACACGTGAATCTTAGAAAAGAATGCAACTTAATCTTGTGGTGGGTTTTTGAAACCCAGAAATACCAGGTACCCTGTTGGGATGGACTGTGGGAAGCAGTGAGTCAAATGCTTGATTCAGAGTTGGGTACAGGTGGTGCTGGCCTGAGCATTTCAAGCCACACCCAGTATTAGGATAATTTTTAAGCAGCTGACAATTTTTACCCCTACCTGGAGCCAGATACAGGTGGGCAGGGACGCCACAGGTTCATCTCATTGCCCCTTTGGGGCAGGTGGTGCAGTTAGCTGCATTTTACTGATAGGAACAGATGCTTTGGGAATTTCATCTCTCACCCAGAGGCACACAGCTAATAAGGGCAGAGCCTGCTGTTGAAACCTCAGGGCCTAAACACTATGCCTCCTATCTTTGCTAGGGTCTCAGGGAATTGTATGGGAAGTAGCACCATGGTAGTGCCCACTTCTCCATGGGGGATGTCTTGCAAGACTCCTAATGGATACCTGAAGCTGCAGACAATACTGAACCCCGTATGTACTAAGTTTTCCTCTATATGCCCTGAAGCATTGCCACATAATACCAGAGTTAATCTGCCCTTCCATATTTTATCCTGCTTTGTGTCACTACTTTTGTACTTTGGAACTATTATTAAATTAAATAAAGGTTACCTGAGCACAACCACTGTGACTCCATCACAGTTGACCTGATAATTGAGACCAGGACTAAATGATGAATGGGTGGGTGGTGTATGCAGTGTGGATATGCTGGACAAAGGGATGATTCACATCCTAGGTGGGATAGAGTGAGATGGGGCAAGACTTCAGCATGTTGCTCAGAATATACAATTAAAGCTTAAGAATTATTCACTTCTAGGTTTTTCTCATTTAATATTTTTGAACTAGGGTTGACTATAACTAAAACCTTGGGAAGCAAGGGGGCAGGACTGGGGTATTTAATTCTGTTCCACAAATGATTTAGCTCTGCCACATACCAGTCTGACTTTAGGCAAGTTGGCTCATCTTCCTGAACCTCATTTTTTTCATTTCTCCAAAACAGACTAAAAAAAGACTTTTGATCAACCAGAATAAATAATATATAAACAGACTGCTTGTTTTTATTGTATTGCCAAAATATGAATTATGTGAATATTGCCACCTCTGAGAAGAAAATGCATTACCTGTTCACATCAAGACCCAGATGAGGAAGAACCCAAAATGCAGGAGCTAACTTTTTTGCCCTCCCAAAATCTTCATCTTAATATTTACTTCCATTTTATTGTTATTTTAGACTCACACACACATACTTAGCATGGATCATTGGCTACAGACTTGCATATATTTAACTTAATTACCTTTTGCCTCATGTATCTCCTTAAAATTTTGCTGCTTAATCAAGGATCTGCATATTATTAATTTCAGAGTTCATGGTTCCATGATTCTGATGGTTTCAAGCATGTTATGGGTGAACATGTTATGTTCTCTCCTGACTCGATGCTTTTTGCACAGCTGATCTCTTGGCCACTTGTCACAACTGCTTTCTCCTCTTCAGGCTTCAGTGCCTAGCTGAATGGAACACCTCTTCCAGGGAGCCCCCTTGGGGCTCCTGTGATGTCTTGTACTTGCCCGCCATGCACAGATCTGTCTTGCTGTCTTGTAAGGGCCCACTGTTTTCTCTCCTGTTAAGCTGTGGATGCTGCAGGATAAGGAGCATCTGTGGTTTCCTCTTGTATTCTTGGTGTCTGGTGCTGTGCCTGCCTTGTTATTACAAGTTGGAGAAGTGCTGGGTGGATTCAGGCTTCCCGTGGGAGAGGAAGGAAACAATAAAACAGCGAGAAAGGCCATCCCAGACCAAGCTGCAGGCTGCTGTGAGAGTAATGAGGAAACCAAGGGAGTAACATCATCTCTAATAATAGGGGAGTGGAAGAGTACAGTTTGCAATTCCTTTTAGCAGTTTCACATACATTATCTAATTTGATCTTCATAAAAGTCTGGAAATAGATATAGGGATGAAAGCAGAGATTTGAGTGGTTATGGGCTATACAATGAGTAAATGGCTGGATTCAGACCTTTGCACCCTGTTCTCTTTCCCTTGAAGCACACAATGAAGCCTCCATTGTCACCACAGCACCCATTTGATCACACCGGGCTCACTGCTCTGTGGTCTATTGGACAGATCATTGTGGTTTTATTGACTAAGCAATAATCCTCCACCCAAGAGGATGCATTTCATTAATATAGGTCTAGATAATGAATTGTCTTTGACTTTAAGGAAATAGCAGCCAGGGGAGAAAGCAAATCTCACTTTCAAGTACATCTGGCAATGCAGTTTGTAGCAGGTGGGGTGGGTGTGTTCTGAAATACCAGCCTCTTGCAATGTGTGGTTCCTTCTGCTTTCAGGCCCAGCAAGCACATCCTGGGAAGGAAAATGCGCTGTGGACCCCTGTGCCTGTTCCTGTGGCTTTGGCTCTATCTATCCTACATTCAAGCTGTACCCATCCAAAAAGTCCAGGATGACACCAAGACCCTCATCAAGACCATTGTCTCCAGGATCAATGACATTTCACACATGGTAAGGAGGGTCTGGGGAGACAAAGTAGAACTATAACTTAGCCCTGCACTGGCTCCTATGGGCCTGGAGCCAAATAGTCCAAGAAACACTTTTGAGTACCTTCTGAACTCCAGGCACCTACTGAATGCTGAGGAGTATTTGAAAGCACAGGGCTCCCGTTCTTTCTGGCTGTTTCTCTTGGCCCTTCTGCCTGCTAGGATTCAGGAGTGAGTGGTTCTAATTCTTAACCACTTTAAGAGCATTTAACTTTGCTCTCATTAAAAAATCATAGCAAAAAAAAATCATAGCAGTCTTTGATATCACAAAGCCACCATAGGGAATCCCTGACCTCAGAAGTTGGCTGAGGCATGTGCAGTGACACGGAAGGGCTGTAGTAGTCTTGATTCCTCCCTTCCACACAGAGTACTGCCTCTTCTCTTCCTCTTCCCCTGCCTCTGCCTCCATCACTCTCCTTCCTCCCTTGCCTCACTCTGGTGCTCAGAACCAGAGAGAGCATGAAGGTCCCTGTCCCATTGGCAGGTGACCAGAACCCCAGCCACATCCCCATTGGGCCTGGCCCATCTCTAGATGTGCATGCCATTTGGGTTCCTAGAGTTTTCACTGCAGCTTCCTCCCATCACTTCTAGTTCTGCTTTCAAGGCCACACAGAAGAGTGAATTTCCCTCTGCATATTGCAAACAGCTATCACTGCCCACCCTGGTGTTTTCTCTGCTTTAACAGGCTAGACCTTTAGCCATTTCCCAGATGGGTCTGTAATTGGAACTCATTAAGTATGAATCTTTCCGCATCTGCTGTCCATCTGTAAGATCTTACACGAGTTCATCAGTGTCTTTAAACCCTGCTTTCATCATCTACGTGATGGGAACATCATATAGTCTCTACTAGGTTGTTATGTAGCACTCAATGCAGTGTGACCCTGACCAGTAAGGAGAAGAGACTGCATGAGAACCTGACTGCGATGGAGGAATTTGCTGAGGGTGGAAGGGAATGAGAGTGGTGGAGGGAGGGGTGCTTATGGAGGACCTAAGATGCCTGGAAAGAGACTCAACTAAATAAGAAATAGGAAGCCATGGCTGTTTCTTCACAGAGGGGATTTGAAGAAAGGAATATCCCAAGAAGATTAGTCAGAAGTGGAGGGTAGGATGGTTTGGGATGGGCAGGAATCCAAGAGACCAGCTTAGAGGTTTGGCAGTCCTTTGGGCTCAGTAAATGGTGAGGAAGGGGTAAGAAGGCTGTCTTCCACATTCATAGGGGTGGTGGAGGGCTTTGGAGAGTTTCCCTCCCCACTTGCTGAGCTCTTGCTTTCCCTCTTCCCCTGTGTAGCAATCAGTGTCCTCCAAACACAAGGTCACTGGTTTAGACTTCATTCCTCTCTACCCGGACCTGAGCTTCTCCAAGATGGACCAGACATTGGCAGTCTATCAACAGATCATCAGCAATCTGCCTTCCCGAAGAAATATGGTGCAAATATCTAATGACCTGGATAATCTCCAGAATCTTGTCCACATGCTGGCCTCTTCTAAGGGTTGCCCTCTGCCCCAAACCAGGGGCCCAGAGCTTCTGGAGAACCTGGGTGGTGCCCTCAAAGAATCAATCTACTCCACAGAGGTGGTGGCCCTCAGCAGGCTGCAGAGGTTTCTGCAGGAAATGCTGCTGCAGCTAGACCACAACACCATGTGCTGAGGCCTTGAGGCTGCTCTTTCCCGGAGGACCAGGGAAGAAACCTTGAGGGAAGAAACCTTGGCTTCCAGGTGTCTCTGGGAGAAGAGAGCCTTGGGTGGACATCCCGTATCCAGAACCTTGTCCATTTCTCTCTTCTAAGCCACTCTTCCTAAGGCACAAGACTACATTGCTTGATACCAAAGATATATGCACATGATTCCATGCTCACCAGGAAGGGGGCCCATCCAGCCAAGAGTATATTGTACGGGCGATTCTCACTAAATTCTTAAGCCATCAACAAGAGTCACCTGTCTCCTTTTGGTCCCATCTCCTTCTCTATGTATGCTTCAGTGTAACCAGGGGTGATTTCAGAAATTGGGCAGACAGAGCCTTTGGACCTTCTCAGAGTAAAGCTCTACCTGAAATTCTGGGGAGCACCATGAAGGCTGCATTCACTTTCAGCTAAAAACTCCCAAGCAACACAAATTGGAAGCACTTGTTTATATAGTATGCATTTTACTCTAGATGGATTTGAAGCAAAGTACTGTACCAGCTTTTCGAGGCTTTGGGGTCAACTAGGACTGGGGATGCCCCTGGGATGTTGGTTTTAGTCCCATCGATGGGCCTGCCTAAGGCAAGCCCACTTTGAGTGACTGGAGGATTGATATTGTCTGAGCAAGAGCCAATTGAGGTAGCTCTCAAGTTATTTCTCTAGTGACTGGTTTTGTTTTACTGTGACTAAATTTACACTGCAGTTTTTGCAATGGCATTTCCCTGAGTGAATCCTCAAGGGCAAGATTATTTTAAAAAGAAGGTGAATTTTACCAAGTAATACACACCTGTGTGTACAGGGGTGGGCGTATGTTGGTGGGAGGGAAAAGGATCCAGAATATATTTTCTGAATAACATTTTTGTAGGAAGAAATGAAGTCATTTTTTCCTCTTCTGCAACCACTAGGGTAGTTTCCATGAAGAGAATGGAGGGGGTTCGGGGGCTGTGAGGTTTACATGGTGTCTGTGGAGGGAAGGCCCTAAAGCTGAAGGTCCTTTGGTGGTGTAGTACTAAGCTCAGGGAGTGGGGATCCCACACTGGAGACAGTGATCCCCAGGGCAGGGGTCCTTGGTGTGGCTCTCCAAGTGGCTCAGAGTTGATCCCACACTGGGTTTATAACATAGTAATGTTCCTATTTTGGATTTGCCTGCAAATTGTTTTTCTCATCTGATTGGTTCATCCAAAAAAAGGCTATATTTCCCACCCATTCTGTGGCTAGTTTTATTTCAGTGAGAAAGTGAAATCCTTTAGCAGATGGTCCTGAGCCCTGGGACTGCTGAGTGAGTGTCAGGGCCCTGGGCCAACCTGCCAGTTTGGCCTTTTGGCTGGAGGTCAGGTTCAGGAGGCTGAATAAGGAGGCTTGGGTTTCCCACCATCCTTCCTCTGTGATGTCACTGTGGGTGGTAGATATGTCCAAGGAAACTTGAATCAAAGCAACAATACACTTTAAGACTGAGCACTTGCTTTGTGCTCAGCCCTGACTGGTGCTGTGGGCTCGAGAAGCTCACCAAATAAACATGAGAATCAGGGACTTGCGTCCCCATGGTAAAGCCCCACTCACCAGTGTGCCGTGGCAGACACTTCACCATGGTGTGCCGAACAGCTGAAAGCACAGTGCTGTCTTCAGTAGGTGAAAAATGGCATGAGCTGAGAGTGGTGGTGCCCAGGGGCCCACAGGTGACCCTGCTTACACTCTAGTATTTCTACAGTTTTCAGGGCACATAAGCATCTTTTGCTATAAGGAAATATAGGTTGAATGTCCCTTATGTGCTTGGAAACTGAAAGTGTTTTAGACTTTGGACTTTGTTTCAGATTTTGGCATATTTGTGTTTACATGATGAGGTATTTTGGTGATGGGACACAAGTGTAAACATGAAATTCATTCATATTTCATATATATCTTATACACACAGCTTGAAGATAATTTTATACAATATTTTAAATAATTTTGTGCATGAAACAGTGTTTCATAGTGTGTCCTCTTCCACTAGTGGTATCACATCATTGCTCAAAAGTTTTGGATTTTGGAGTATTTCAGATTTCAGATTTTCCAATAGGGGATGCTTAGCTTTTACCTGAGACCCTAACAGCTGACAGGTAGAAGGACCAGGCCTAGAGCTCAGGTCTTCTGATCCTCAGAGAGTCCCTTGAGCTAGCTCTCTGGATATGGGCTGGAGCAGGTGAGACCATGAAGAGTTTGGAGGTAGAATTTGAAGTAGGTGAGGGATGTGAATTGTCCGCAGGGAGGAGGCTGTTTTGTTGGAAGCTTGGTGTGTGGAGGAGACACAGAGGTGAAAAATGTGAGCAGCAAGTGATGGCAAAAGGCAGAGGAAGAAGAGATGCCAGGGAAAGAGACATGTTGAGGGATGCAAAAGTTGGATACTAAAGGTCATGCATCCCAAGTTCTGGAGAACAGGCTTCGTGGAGGCCATGGTCAGACTCGCCCTGGGAAATATGGCAGATCAGCTCAGCCACTCATCACACTGGGATGTCTTGAGCCTTCTGCTCACAAGGCCTGGCACTACGGCTCAGAGTGTGACACTTCCCAAATGCAAATGCTTGTCTTTTGTTTTTAATGCTTGTTTAAAAGAAAAAAATTCAAATAAATCTACTTTGCCCCATGGTCTGCGTTTTCTTCTGCTTGTTGTAGAGGGGCTTCTGGGGAGCTGTTTGTGTGTGATAGGGTAAGACCTGGCTGTCATCCAGCCATCACTGGGGTCAGCTCTTCCGGGCTTGGCCATAGCCAGCTGCCAGTTATACAGGCAAAAGGATCACCCCAAAGCCCAGAGCTGGCAAAGGAGCACCTCCTGAACCAGAGGCAGCACAATTCTGCAAACCAGCCTCAAGAAGCACATTATTTAAAACAAAAAAATCCAAGAAAAACAGTCAAAGAAAAAACAAGCAGCCCAATCATCAGACCCAGCCTGGTGCACAGAGTAGAAAAGATGAACTTGGCTTGTGGCAGGTGCAGAGCCCTCATCCCTACAGTTCTCGTGAGACCTAATCTGCTCAACCCAAGTCCTGGGGGTCTCGGGGGCCTCGGGGTCAACTCATCAAAGGAAGTCCTTTCCATGAGCAATTATAAAGACCACTCCTCCTGCCAAAAAAAGTTGCTGGGGTCTCTGGGGATTAAATCAGAGAATGAACCAGCACAGTACCTAAGTTTAAATGAACCATCCTTCCCTGTCCATCACAACCAGCAACAGGCTTTAAATGTCATTGGTCCTAATGAGGAGCACATGGATGTCAACTTTCCTTCATAGGAGACAACAGCTGCTGGATCCTTTCCTGCTGTCTTAGCTCAGGCTGCTGTAGCAAATTGCCACAGACTGGGTGTTATAAATAGCGGACATTTATTTCTCACAGTTCAGGAGGCTGGAAGTCCAAGATCAGCATCTAAACATAGTTGGGTTCTAGTAAGGGGCCTCCTCCGAATGGCAGACTGCTATCTTCTTATATCCTTTCCCAACAGGAAGAGAGTAGAGAGCTTTTGGGGGACCCCTTCATAAAGGTGCTAATCAACTCATCAGTCTCCACCTGCATGACCTAATCACTCTCAAACACCCCACCTCCTAATAGCATCACTTTAGGGCTTAGGATATCAACACATAAATTTGCATGCAACACAAATATTCAGTCCATTGCACTTGTGTACCAGCCTGGAGGAGGGGGAAGGGAGCCCCATGTTCCTGAATGACAGGAGACCATAGAAGGGAGCTGCCAGATGTGGCTATAGCGCTTCGATGGGTCACTTGGCAGTTCAAAGTAGTGGCTGCCTCTGCCTGGCAGGAGTCCTTTAGCTTTGCGTGACATATATCCAGGCAGACAAACCTAGATAAAAAAGAGAATGCATCAGCCCACACTGATAAGAAGTCCAGGCCCTGGCCCATGTCTGACACCCTTTCCTCTCATTTCCCTCCCGTGTGGTGGCAATGGTGGCCTCCAGCATCTCTAGGCTTCTGGGATCCTTGGTGCCCATATCATGGGAGAAGAGCATCTCTTCCTTGGTAGTGGCTGGAACATTACAAGGAGGGCTCTTAGGCCAGGCCTATGTCACATGACCACCCCTGTGGCCAAGGATGGGGTGGGCCACATGAGCCAAATGGGGTGAGAATAGGGGAGAAAGGTCCCCACCATGAGATACAGAAAACAGAAAAAGAGATAAATAAAGCAAACTTGGAAAAAATAGAAAACATACCCACCAGAACATCTCGTTCTCTCAGAAGGCACATGACATTTATGGCTTTTCTTTGGAAGATCTTAAGGCCCACCTCTCATTTCTGGGAGTCTCTGCTCCAGCCCACCCATCACTCTGCCCTGGATCAGCCCAGAGGACACTAGGACTCACTCTCTAGTAGATTTCAACAGCCAGGTCTAGAGCCACTGCCATGGGCAGGCCTCTGTCCTCACCTTAGAAGAGAGGGTGATGGAAGACAGGCTCCTACAGTTCTTCAGCCCCATGAATTCCCAGAGGTGACAGGTCAGGATGGAAAGGAGTGTGGATGCCAGAGTAGGAGGGTGTGGGGCGGTACTACCCAGGGGTGGAGAGCTGAGCTAAGTCTTCATCCCCAGGGTCCTAGAAAGGTGCAGTGCCATAATCTACTCAAGACCCCTGCCTAACTAAGGTGGGTGCCAGGGGCTTGGGAACATGTCTGCCCTTTGGTGGTTAGCTGGAATAGACCGAGCCATCTTGTTTCTGAGCAGTCACAAGCCTGAGAAGGCCAGCTGGGAATAACGTGGAAAGCCATCCACAGTAAAACGGGGTCCCCAGAGCAGAGGCTTGGAGGTGTCGCATCCTCTGTGGTAGTGAGTGTGCAAGCTCTAGGTAGAAAGCGTATTTTTCACATTCCCCTTTTCCAGGTCCTTTTCCATCCTCAGGCATTCTCTTGGTCTCCCCTGAGGCAGCAGCTCACACCTGTCAAACAGCTGGCAGAGTCTGGGGACAGCACCTGGCCATGTTCAACCTCCAAAGGCAGGACTTTGTCCTTGCCAAGTCTAGTGAGAAAAAAATCCAGGTCAACCCAGCAGACCTTTCAGGAGATCCCATCTCAGAAGCTTTCTGGACAATAGCAAGCAGCCAAGAAAGGTGCACCCCATTTTCCAAAAGGAATTTAGAGCCTTTTACTCCAGGCTTTTAACAGTAGGATCTCTCTAGTGATGTTTGACCTACACAAATCCATCTGCAATAAGTCCCTGGTACATTGTCATTGCCAGCTCCACAGGGTCCCTGCCCTGGTAACTTGTCCTCTCAGGGGATGGATGGTAGAACTGAGGATGCAAAGAAAGGTAACAGAGACTGCCTGGGCCCCAGCTCCCAAGCTCCCACCAAAGAGCACTCAACACTTAGGCCTCAATTTGTCACCTGCATGATGGGATAGGTCTTAGAAGATTAGATGATAAAATAACTGATATACAGAAAGCCCTCGATAACTATGTTGTTGTTATTATTATTAGCAAGTTAGGGAAGCAAAAAGAATGAGAATTGCTTCAGCAGATGCTTTTGGTGCCATAGACCTGTGAGTACACTGCAGCTGCAATCCACGGTTCCTCTGCCCAGAGCTCCCCGAATCATTGCTCCACTGCCCCGCCCCCCACTCAGCGAGCCTCCTAGCCCAGATGCACAGCCTGAAGTGGGGAGCATGTCCTGATGAGAGAGTAAAAGCCCCAGCCTTCTGCCTTCTACAGGGCAATCATGGGATGCCATCTGCATGCCCACCCAAGAACCAGATCAATAAGGTACTTTCTACTGGCTATCCCTCTTCCACAGCCCTCTCTCCCTGGTCCTCATTCCTGGTTCCCAGGGATACCGCCCAGTCTCCTGCACCAGATGGAGTCTTTGTGTCAAGCTCTGCTCTTGGAGGAACTCAAGGCAAGACAGCTGCAGAGAAGGTGGATGCTGACAGAACTGTGAGGGAAAGTGACAGAGGGGTGCAGGAACCATGCACCAAAGCTTCAGCAGAAGACCCCTGCATCTTCTCAAGGGATGAAGCCTAAGAGTGGAAAGTAGGGAGGGACTCAGAAAGGAGGGAATCTGCTCCAAAGAGGCACCCTTGACATGGAAAGAACAAGGACGGGAAGAGGCATCTATTGAGACAGAAGAGGTAAAATGTTCACAAAGGAGGGGATGGGGAGAACAAAAGAGGAAGCACCTACAGGAAGTTAAACACTACTTCGTGACAACTGATTGGCAACAGTGTCCAGCACATCCGAGCCCTCTATCCTGGCTTGTGGTCTAAAGAATCGAGACTCTTGTATAAGAAGCACATTATTTAGCAAATTCTGCAAGAAGCCTGAGAATGGCCCAAAGGTTCAACTTCTTACTTGAATTCTGTTCACTCTTCATTTCCTCAGCAAACCTCTTCATTTTGAGTTCACACATATAGGTCCTCAAAAGGCAACCTGGAGACAATGAGAGAAATCTGAATGTAGATTCAATTTTGATATGATAAGGAACTATAGTTAATTTTAGTAGCTGTGATGATAGGATGGTGAATTGTTTTTTACTGCTTTCTTATTCATCAGTGATGGAAACTGAAATAATTGGAGTGAAATGGCATGATGTTTGGGGTTTACCTTTAAATACCTCAGAAAAAATATATATGAAATTAGATAAACAAGATCAATAAAATGTTTATCCTACCCAAAGCAGGATCCCTACATCCTACTTTGAGTAAAATATCCAGAATGAACATTTTTAAGAAAGATCCAAGTCAGTACAGCTCCTCCACTACCTGGGCATTCTGTATTTCTTGGAAGGAAGGAGGGATGGAGGGAAGAGAGAGAATGGGAGTATGATGTGGAGCTGAGTTGTATTTAACGTCACATTTGATTTAACTGCCTGACAGATGTCCCAGGGCCTTGAGGGGACAGCAGACTGTCAGTGTGGGTGTGAAACGGTGAACCAAAACAGAAACTTAACAAATTAAACAAGGAGAGTGTGGTAAAAGGCAGCTGTAAGATGCTGGAGTGGCAAGGCCTGAAGCTCCTAGGAAAAGGCCAAAGAGTGGCTATTAGGGACTCGAAAGAGCTCTGCCCCATCCCTGCCAGGCCTTGGGTGCCCCAAGAAGGAACTCTCTGTCCCCAAGGGGAATGGTAGTGTCCCCACTTTGGACCCATCCTCCATATTAAATCTACTGCATAGGGAGTGTATTAGTCAGCTTTCTAGCAGGTGTGACACAATACCCAACACCCAACTCAAAGGAGGAAAGTTTTAATGGGCTCATGGCTTCAAGGAATTCAGTCCATCGTCAGTTGGTGCCAAAGCAGAAACATCATGGCAGAAGGTCATGGTAGAGCAAAGGTGCTCAGTTCTTGGCAGCCAGGAAGCAGAGCAGAGGACCAGTGCCAGAGAGGAAGGGGCCAGAGACCACACATGGTCCTTGAGGCCACACCTTCATGACCTACCCAGACACACCCAGAAGTGTCCTCCACCAAGCTGTTGGATCCCAGGGCAAATCAAGTTGACACTCTACTCTAACTACCACAGGGTAAGAAGCCCTCAGAGCATTCATGAAGGAAAAGGATTTCTATCTCTTTTCCCTCTTAGGTTATTATAACAAGTTACCTTATTCTAACCTTCAAAACCTTACCTCCATGGGTTTGGCTGAAATCTGAACAGGCTCA